CACCTGTAGTCACAGCTACTTGGGAGGCTGAGGCAAGAAAATCCTTGAGTTCAAGAGTTTGAAGTTGCTGTGAGCTGTGATGTCGTGGTACTCTTCTGGGGGTGACAAATGGCAGTATGAAAAGAATTATGGAAAAAAAGTCTTGGATTGCATGGTAGTTTGTTTAGTTTTAAATACAAGTGTGTATTTAGGAATTTTGTGTAAATTTGTTTATGTTAAACTTTTTTTTATTTCTTTAAAAAAAATTTTTAGTTTTGGCATGGCACTAGTAGCACAGTGGTTATGGTGCCAGCCACATACACCAAGGGTGGTGGGTTTGATCTTATCCTAGGCCAGCTAAACAACAATGACAACTGTAATAAAAAGTAGTTGAGTATTGTGGTGGGCGCCTGTAGTCCAGCTACTTGGGAGGCTGAGGCAGGAGAATCACTTCAGCCCAAAAGTTTGAGGTTGCTGTGAGCTGTGATGTCACAGCACTCCACTGAGGATGCCATAGTGAGACTCTGTCTCAAAAAAAATTTTATTTTATTTTATTTTATTTTTTGGGGCAGCACCTATGGCTTAAGGAGTAGGGTGCCAGCCTCATGGCAGGTTCAAGCCTGGCCCCAGCCAAAACTGCAAAAAAAAAAATTTTTTTTTTTTTTTTAGTTTTACAGGCAGGGTGTTGATCTCCCTTGCCTGGGCTCAAGTGATCCTCAGTTTCCTGAGTAGCTGGGATTGCAGGCACACCCTGCTAAGTTTTTTAATGCCTTGATTTCAGTAAACTAATTTTACAAATTATGAGAAAATTTTCTACTCCTGGGTGTTCTTAAAATGTTGATAGTATCATTCCATACTTCTAATTAAGATAAAAATAAGTTTTGTATCTTTATAACTTACCATTATACTCATTTTTTCATGTGTTGCTACAGTCTTTGTGATTTCCATTTTTAATGGTTAAGTTTTCTTGTGTCAATATGAAGTATACAAAAGCTACTTAATTCTTTTCTTGTAGGAGCTCTTTCTTTTTGCCAAGTTATACTTCCAATTTTTTGTTATTATTGTGAATTAACTTTAATATTGAATATGAAGTATTTTTGTGTATATTATTATTTTCTTTAGAATTTTTAGGATAAAATCTCAGAAATTACTGGATCTAAGTTAGCTACTATAGTTTTATAAAGTCAGTTAAATAATTATAAAATCCTATATTTCATTACAATTGATTTTTATAAAATAATTTAGAGCTAGTAATGGAAATTTTTCATTCTAACACCCAATAGTTCTTTTTGGCCAGGTGCATGCAATTTTCTATGTATATACTTCTTCAAAATTATCACATATAGATGCCATAACTCATTAGTTTAGTTTGAGTGTTTTTCATTTGTTTGCATTTCTTGCTGTATGATTTTTGTCTGCTTGTTTGTTTAAATCCTTTAGCTATTTATCTTCTGTGTTGTAAGTTCTTTGTAAACTTTTTAATCTGAATGCTATCTATTAAAGTACACATGACTGTCAAATTTGTAAGCACTAACTTTATTAAATAATATAGGCTTTTCTAAAATTAATATATTACCTTTTCTCCCTATTGTTTCAGTTTAACACTGGGTTAATGATTAAAAGTGAAAAACTTTACCAATAAACTTTTATTGTAACTTTGTATGTAGATATTTAATGAGGACATGATATGAAGGAATAACTATTTCATTCAAATTTATCTTGTAGGGTGACTGTGAAGATCATGCTAACCTTCTGTGCAGCCTTCTTCTTGGGTATGGATTGGAAGCCTTTGTCTGTGTTGGGACTAAGGCAAAGGGAGTCCCTCACGCATGGGTTATGACTTGTGGGACTGATGGAACCATCACTTTTTGGGAGAGTCTAACAGGACATAGGTTAGTCTAAGTTTATAAGGATATTAAAATGAAGATATAAATGTTTTAAATTATAGGGTTTTTTGTTCATAATGATGGTACTTGAAGGTACATGTTGATAATTTTAGTTATTAGAGCCTTTCACTGTGTAAGAAATTATTTAAATTATGACAACTAAGTAAATAAATGCTAAGAAAATTTGCACCCTGAAAATATTCTTTGCTGATGTGATATAGGTAAAAAGTAAATTATATTTTAGTTTTGTAGTTTTTCATATTTTTTTCTGATGATCATTCCTAAGCCTGAAAATAAGTTCAAGTGGTAAATCATTATTTTTTTTTTAGAGACAGAGTCTCACTTTAGAGTGCAATGGCATCACAGCTCACAGCAACCTATGGTGTCACAGCTCACAGCAACCTCCAACTCCTAGGCTTAGATGATTCTCTTGCCTCAGCCTTCTGAGTAGCTGGGACCACAGGCACCCACCACAACGCCCAGCTATTTTTTTGTTGCAGTTTGGCTGGGGCTGGGTTCAAACCCACCACCCTTAGTATATGGGGTTGGCACCCTACCCACTGAGCCACAGGTGCTGCTTTGTAAATCAATATTTCATTTGAACATTTGACATAGTTACCAATTCCTTGTTAGTAAATCTACTGAATATCTTTCCAGTAGTTTAAGCTGTTATCAGATTTTGAGAGTTGAGTCCTCTTTCCTTCCTGGAACATGATCTTTCCTAAGCTCCTCTCATCATGTCTTTAAATTTTCATTATTCCTCTCTGGTTGTTCTTTCTCAGTTTTGCTTCATCTTTCTTTCCTTTTCTTTTCTTTTTCTTTTTTTTTTTTTTTGAGACAGAGTCTCAAGCTGTCCCCCCTGGGTAGGGTGCTGTGGTATTACTACTCACAGCAACCTCAAACTCTTGGCCTTAAGTGATCCTCTTGCCTCAGCCTCCCAAGTAGTTGGGACTACAGGCGCCTACCACAACGCCAGGCTGTTTTTTGGTTGTAGTTATTGTTGTTTGGCAGGCCTCTGGTGTATGTGGCTGGTGCCTTAGCCACTTGAACTACAGGGGCTGAGCCCCTTGGTTCTTTTTTGTTGTTGTTGTTGTTGAGACAGAGTCTCAATTTGTCACCCTTGGTAGAATGCTGTGGCGTCACAGCTCACAGCAACCTCAAACTCTTGGGCTTATGCAATCCTCTTGCCTTAGCCTCCCAAGTAGCTGGGACAACAGGTGCCCACCATAGCGCCAGGCTGTTTTTAGAGATGGGGGTCTCACTTTGACTTAGGCTGGTCTCTAACCTGTGAGCTCAGACAATCCACCCACCACGGCCTTGCAGAGTGCTGGGATTACAGGTGTGAGCCACTGCACTGAACCTACCTTCATCTTTCTTTCAATGTGTATTCTAGAGGCACAGGCTCAGGTCCTCTTCTCATTTACCTGGGTCGTCTTTCTCTCTGGTTGATAATCATTTTGCTTAGTCGTGCCTAATAATGTATAGCTAAGTTTTTTTATTTGTGTTATCTGAGATAAACAATAAACAATATCTGATGTGTTATCTGAGATAAACAATAAACAATATCTGATTTTAACAATATACATGGAATATGTTCTGTTGTTAATGGAATAGAGCTGATTTCTGTACTAGTAGTTGCCCTGTATAATTATTACAGAGTAATTAAACTGTGGAAATAATGTAAGAAGGAAAAATAAGTATAATTATGAAAAGTAGTTATGGCTTCAAGTGTTAGAATATTATTCTTTTCAGTAAGGTACTGTCTTCTTAGTTTTCAAGTTTTCATTATATAAAATTATGGTTTAAATTTTTTTAGGTATATCCATAAGCCAACCAATGCTGATGAACCTCCACTTGCTGACCAGCCCAAACCATTGTACCCATATCGAACAATTGGCTGTGTTTTCAATCATCAGATGTTCCTGGGAAACTGTCAGCCCTCTGATGCAGTAGAAATCTGTGTGTTTGATCTAAATGACGAATCCAAATGGAAACCTATGAGTGAAGAAGCAATTAAATCTGTATGTGCTCCGGGAGCTACGACGTCCCTTCCTCCCTTTCCACCTCTGTGTGCGTCCACAATTGATGCATCAGTAACAAGTAATGAAATAGAGATGCAGCTGAGGCTCCTGGTTTCAGAACACAGGAAGGTGATTTAACACTGAAATTGTCATTTCAAACTTTTTTTATTGGTTTATTTTATTTTTTGTACTATAGGACCAGTGACTGTTCTAGCCCTTAACAAACCAAATATAGTCCCTGTCTTTATGAAGCTAAGAGTTTTGATAGCTGTGAGACTTTTTCAGACTTAAGTTTTGAGACTGAAAAATTTCCAATTCCACTAATCCTTAAAGAATTTATTACTTCCTCCTAGAAGTGAAGAATGCTGGACTTATTCACATTTTAGAGTCAGACTTTTGCTGAACCCCACTATTTGGATTTTCTCTTTGTGAAATGCTTACTGAGGAGCTGGGACTTCAGGTGCCAGCTATTTTAGACCTGGCTATTTTTAGAGATGGGGTCTGACTCTTGCTCAGGCTGGTCTCAAACCTGTGAGTTCAGGCCATCCCCCCCAGAGTGCTGGGATTATAGACGTGAACCACTGCGCCCAGCCAGAATTACTTTTTTTTTTCTTGCAGTTTTTGGCTTGGGCTGGGTTTGAACCCGCTACCTCCAGTATATGGGGCTGGCGCCCTACTCCTTGAGCTACAGGTGCTTCCCCAGAATTACTTTTTATAGAAGAGGAAAACAAAGCTGAGATAGATGCCAGTGGTGATTATTAGGTAATGGTGCCTGAAAATCAGCAAGGAAGATTCTTGTTTTGCCACAGGAAATGAATAGTTGATCATTGATCTTTGAGATCACTTGTGACCAATTAAAACCTTGAATGTGTAATTAGGAAATGCTAAGGATCTGTTATAATCATCAAAATACTAGAATTTTGAGAAGTTTTTATTATTTGTAATTATTTTTATTTCATGTGTCTAGATGTCAGTAGTTCACTTTCATTTATAAATGAAATCATACTGCTTTTAACATTCTGTAGAAACATGTTTTAAGCTCCCTTAGGCCCTATGGCATCTTCACTTTTTTTTTTTTTTTTTTTTTTTTTTTTTTTTTTGAATTTTTTGGCTGGGGCCGGATTTGACCCCACCACCTCTGGTGTATGGGGCTGGCACCTTACTCCTTTGAGCCACAGGAGCCACCCTCATCTTCACTTTTTTATCTCTTACACTTAACAGTATAAAAGTCTATGCCCTGGCTCGGCGCCTGTGGCTCAAGTGGCTAAGGCGCCAGCCACATACACCTAAGGTGGTGGGTTTAAATCCAGCCCGGGCCTGCCAAACAACAATGATGGCTGCAACCAAAAACTAGCTGGGCATTGTGGCGGGCGCCTGTGGTCTCAGCTACTTGGGAGGCTGAGGCAGGAGGCTCACTTGAGCCCAAGAGTTGGAGGTTGCTGTGAGCTGTGATACCATGGCACTCTACCCAGGGGGGAACAGCTTGAGATTCTGTCTCAAAAAAAAAAAGTCTATGCCTTTCCAGAGTAATTTATTAAGAAATACTTGTTTAATTACATGTGGAATTAATCTGTTGACTTTTCTCCCCTACTGCATTTGAGTTTATAAGACCAATCAAATTAGGCAGATTTAATCATACTAAACTCTTTTTTTTTTTTTTTTGTAGAGACAGGGTCTCTCTTTATTGCCCTCAGTAGAGTGCTGTGGTATTGCACAGTTCACAGCAACCTCCAATTCCTGGGCTTAGGTGATTCTCTTGCCTCGGCCTCCCAAGTAACTGGGACTACAGGTGCTCACCACAACGCCTGGCTATTTTTTTGTTGCAGTTTTGCTGTGGCCGGGTTTGAACCCACCACCTTCGGTATATGGGGCCAGCGCCCTACCCACTGAGCCACAGGCGCCACCCCTTTTTTTTTTTTTGAGACAGAGTCTTGCCCTGGGGCCCTGGCTAGAGTGCAGTGGCATCATCACAGCTTACCTCAAAAGAGGTAAACTCTTGGGCTCAAGAGAGCTTCCTGCCTCCGCCTCCTGAGTAGCTGGGACTGTGAGCCACCACGGCCAACTAATTTTTTCTGTTTTAGTAGAGCTGAGGTCTCACTCTTGCTCAGGCTGGTCTCAAACTCCTGAGCTCTTGCACCGCTCCTGCCTCCACCTTCTAGAGTGCTGGTATTTAACAAGCATAGGCCACTGTGCCTGGACTTACAAAACTCTGAAGTTAAATAAAATATCTCAAAATTCACAAACACCATATCTTTCATACTAGGACTATTCCATATGGTCTTTTCTAGTAGATATTAAAGAATTCTATGGGTGGCGCCAGTGGCTCAGTGGGTAGGGCACTGGCCCCATATACCAAGGGTGGTGGTTTCAAACCTGGCCCTGGCCAAACTGCAACAAAAAAAATTTCCAGGTGTTGTGGCGGGCGCCTGTAGTCCCAGCTACTCCAGAGGCTGAGGTAAGAGCTCGCCTAAGCCCAGGAGTTGGAGGTTGCTGTGAGCTGTGACACCACAGTACTCTCCTGAGGGCAATAAAGTGAGACTCTGTCTCTTAAAAATAAAAAAGATACATAGTATTCTAGTAGATACTAAAGAAGTATAATATTCAAAGCTTTCATGAACTTATTGAATATTTTGGGTTATTTCTCTAAGAAGTAAAACCCAGTCACCTATAGTTCCTTTTATCTTTATTTCTGTGCATCCATGTAATAATTAATAGGAACTTTAAAAGCTTATGACAGCTTTTAAAAATCTTTTTTTGACATAACAGTACAATAATTAACATTTTAATTTAATTGGCTTTTAAAATATTAATGCATTTCCCTTTTGATTGCTACAGGATCTTGGCCTCACTACTGTTTGGGAAGACCAGCTCTCCTACCTTCTATCACCAGCTTTGGCTTCTTATGAATTTGAGCGCACAACAAGCATATCTGCAGGCAATGAAGAATTTCAGGATGCCATAAGGAGAGCTGTACCTGATGGCCATACATTTAAAGGATTCCCAATACACTTTGTGTATAGAAATGCAAGACGTGCGTTTGCCACGTGTCTTCGGTAAGGTGTGACTTATGGATTTATAATTTTTTTGGTTTAGGAAACTTAGAGATCGTTTAGTCTGGTAGTTACTTATAAATGAAATTAGAGTCACATGAGGAACTTTTGCTTTGTTAGGTCTGAAATATAGTTTCAGAGTCTGATAATTTTCCTAGTGATTTCAGTACAAGCTCAGTTGGAGGTTTCTGATCTTGTCTATAAATTTTTTAAATTTATAAACCATGAGGGGATGGTCTAATTTGCATAGCTTGACCAAAATGACAATGTCATAGGTAGCAGAGACAGAATTTTAAAAAATTGTTTTAAATACCAATTTGGAAAGCATATGGTCACTTCTTAATTAAGTAAATTTTTTTTTTTTATATAGGTCTCCTTTCTGTGAAGAAATAATCTGTTGCCGTGGAGACCAGGTCCGATTGGCAGTTCGCGTCCGAGTGTTTACTTACCCTGAATCTGCATGTGCTGTTTGGATCATGTTTGCTTGTAAATATCGCTCGGTATTATAGGACTAACACTTCTATAAGCATTATACTTGTGTTTTACTAGAACTTTGCACGTTGTACATTATTAGCTCCAAAGAGGTTCTTTATTTTAAAATGACAATCTGTCTTGGATGTCATGTTTCAGTTTTGTATATACCTGACTGATAATCATGTATGTATTTAAAATTTAAGGATGAAAAACTTGTGTAAATCTCAGTGGCATTTAGTATAAATTAAGTGTATATTCTGTTTTAATAAATGCTACTTTGTTTACAGGTATTCAGTAGTTTAAATATGAATATAAAATGTACTCAGTTTACACTAACAAGTAATTAGAGTTGTCTAAGTGTTTGCGCCATAGTAAAGTCAATATGATTATTTTTCATAGATTAATGGAATTATTTTATATGAATTAGGAGAAATTAACCTCACTACAAATTTATTACATAAGTGAAAGTACATTTTGGTGGATTATTACTTTTGTGGTTTACCCATAGCCCTAGGGATAGTTGAGATTTTCTAGAAATTTATAGTAAGACCTTGAAGTAAAAATAGGAAAAAACAAATTCTGGGAAACCATAAAGATTAATAACCTCAATGAATAATTTATAAATATTTATCAGTTTGATTTGTTATAAAAATGAATTAAGTGGCTCAGCACCTGTAGCACAGTGTGGCAGGTTCAAACCCGGCCCAAGCCAGCTAAACAACAATGACAACTGCAACCAAAAAAAAAAAAAAAAAATAGCCAGGCATTGTGGCAGTGCCTGTAATCTTAGCTACTTGGGAAGCTGAGGCAAGAGAATCACTTAAACCCAAGAATTTGAGGTTGCTGTGAGCTGTGATGCAACAGCACTCTTCTCCAGGGTGACAGCTTGAGACTCTGTCTCAAAAAAAAAAAAGAAGTGTTTTAGAAAAAAATTTATTATACCTCTTTGTTATGGTATTGATAAGTACTGCTGTATGGCTTGGCACCTGTAGCTCAAGCAGCTAGGGTGCCAGCCACATATACCAGAGGTGGCAGGTTTGAATCCATCCTGGGCCTGCCAAACAGCAATAACAACTACAGCCAATAAATAGCCAGGCATTGTGGCTGGCGCCTGTAGTCCCAGCTACTTGGGAGGCTTGGGAGAATCACTTAGGCCCAAACCAGTTTAAGGTTGCTGTGAGCTGTGATGTTATAGCATTCTACGGAGGGTGACATAGTGAGACTCTGTCTCAAAAAAAAAAACCACTTCTCTATAATTAATCCTAGCAGTCTGTCACTGAGTTTCTATGGTCAAGTGATTTACCTACTATCTTCTGAAATCACTTTTTTCTTTCTCTTTTCTCATTGTGATAAAAACATCTGTATATATGCATCTAATGTGATGAGAGCTTCATTGTGCAAGCCACTGAAAACAAGCGCTTGTGACTGATTCCATGCCGACAATTGTTTTAAAATTAGGCAAGTTTTATAAATTAGTTTTAAGTGAGCAAAAGTAAATGTTAAAAAAGACTCTAACACTTCAACCCTTTGTGAGAAGCTGTGTGATGTATAAGTGATAGGTTTGACTGTCTGTTCAGCATCTCTGCTTGGTTCTTAATTCAGTTGCTTTACCCACTGATCTTAAGAAAGTAACTGTATACCAGTTGGCTATCCAAGTTATTGATTTCTTTTCCTCACTTTAATTCACCCTGGCAAAGAAAACAATTTTGTTTTAAAAAATTAAAATCTAAAGGTGTCTTAAAATTTGCTTTTTGCTTTATTTTTGTATCTGATAAATATTTATGGTTTGTTTTAAAAGTCTACTATTCCTCTTCTACTGATTTTCATTGAAAATGGTAATCAGGCTTGGCGCCTGTGGCTCAGGCAGCTGGGGCGCCAGCCACATACACCTAAGGTGGCAGGTTCGAATCCCCAGCCCGGGCCC